CTTATCTCTTCTGCACTTTGTAAAGAGTTCTTGAACTTGTTTTTGTAAGTTGTTTAGTTGTAAAGGTGGTTTCTCTTGTTTTTTGGCTGATTTCTCTTTTTCTCAAAAAATTACCAAAAAAGAAAATTTTCTGAAAAATTGGGGATCAGTGGAAAGAGTTTTTTGAGATCATGGATAAAATTTTTTAAAAAATTATGAAAATAAAGATTTTAAAAGAATTGAAACAATTAAAAAAGAAAAATAAGTTTTTTATTATAGAAAATCATTGTAAACTTTATACTTCAAATGTTAAAAAAATATTTATATATTTTATAATTAGATTTTTTTTTTAAAAACTTTTTTATTATTAAAACTCTTTCCACTGATCCTCTGACCATATATAAAAAAGATGTTCGCAAGAAGTTTTATACTTTCTTGCTTATAAAGTCTTCATACTTTCATTAAAATAACTTGAAACTTGTCTTCATTTATCTCTTCTAACCTTCCTTACTTGTTTATAAACTTCTTTGAATAAAAACTTGAGCCTCTAGTGGCCTGAAAAGACTCAAGTACTTACTTCCTCTACTAAAGACAAGAAGGTTCTAGGAAATAAAAGGATTGACAAGTGGAGTGTCACCTCACAGAGCTAGAAGTGACAAGAAATAGAGGTTCTATTGGTAGAGGAAGGCTTATTTTTCACCTTCTCATATACTATCTTATACCCTCTTAAAGTACTTATTGATTTTCACGACTTTCTTGAAGAATTTTGACTATCTCAATTTGATCCTAAATTTTTGATAGCATAACGTCACTTGGCATTTGATTGGTTAACATGATACATGTTAATAGCTAAATATAAACAAGCTTCTATTGGTCATTCTTACATGTTCCGATGATACCATTGGTGATAGAAAGAGAAATCAAGAATATAAACTCCTTCACTCCTTCAAATGAAGTTTAACTGAAGTAAAGAAATCATAAGGTCATTAGGATGGACACTAAATTCCTTAAATGGTGAAAAGGTGATTATTTGTTTAAGTTGAGACCTTCAACTTCTTATCATCCTAGTCAGGCAAATACATGAAGAAGTTTATTTTTTTATCCTGGTCAGGCTATAAGACCCAAAAACAAAAGAATGCAAAATACTGTCCTTCTCTAGAATTGAAAATGCATTTCCTCAGACATTGTGTAATAATATCATAATCGACGAGGATCCCTATACTATCCAATATCTTCCCACCATTGCAAGACAAAAAGATTGTTGGGAAATCTGACTTTTTGGATAATGGAAAATATACACCAGTAAAATTTCTTTAACTAGGCATGGCTACTGGAAGATATTGAAAGTTTACACAACAAGACTGAAAAGTCACATAAGAATCTAGGGTCCACCATTAGCCATTCTGTTTTGCGTGGATGGATATAAAATCAAGACTGAAAGAAAGAAAACATTGAGCAAGACACTGAATCTGAGTAGGAGATAAGTACCTTAGACGGTCACAAGAAAATAATCAAGAATATGGATGGATAAGTTCTTTAGATGGTCAGAAAAGAAGAAAAATATTTCAGAAGGATTAATTCCTAATAAAAAAAGGTTTCTAGTAGAGATTCTTTGGAGAACATGAAGCAATTTTAAATTTCTTTTTTTTTTTTCATTTTCATATAGTGCATTTGCACATTTTTAGATATTCCCCTTTCCTTTTATTTTTTCTTTCCCCTTTTGTAGTTTCTCAAATTTAGTTTCTTGGAAGATAATAAGCAGTAACAATCTACTGGCAATGATGGATAAGTTAGAAGAATCTTTACCCAAAACTTAATTCAGAGCAAAATATTGTTCCCAAGGTTGCATTTAGAGGCTGAAACTCTTTTGAGAATTGAAAGCCATTGATGAGTGTGTCAGTATAAGAGTTTAATTTAACCATTATGCAACTGTCCTATATATCTTAATCAGTTTTCTTAATGATTAATAAACACACAGTACTGACTTGATCACGGGTTTTAAAAATAAAAAAAAAAAAAAACTTTTTTATTATTGATATCAAAAGTATTATTTGATTTTTTTTTATTGCTAAAAGTTAAATTTTTAAGTAAAGTGATTTGTAAAGAAGTATAAAAACATCTTTTTTATATATAATTAAAGAATTAATAAAAATAAAATTTTTTTTTAATATTTTAAATTTGATTATATATTTAAACTTAAATTTTAATTTATTAATTATAAATATTCTTTTTTAATATTATACACAATAATATTTTAAAGACCTGTGGATCAATAGCATAGTGATAACACTTCCATATTACCAAGTACTGTTTTCGAGTTCAATATTACTGCGAGGCAATATCACCTAAGCCTAGGTGGTGCAAAAAGATTTTATCCATTCTATGATAATGATCTAACTATCTCTAATCAAGATCTCGTTCGATCATGAGATATACAAAGATCATAAAATGTTTCAGCCAGTTTTAGTGATGAAGTCACTTTATTACAAAACAAGTTTTTGTAGATAGGCTGAATATCTGCTTGTCATAAAAACTCAGAAACTAATGGTGCTTAGATATGTTAGCATAAGAAGAGAATCTCTACCAAAATTGATGATCTATCTAAAATTTCACATGGTCACTCCATAAGCAGGCTATAATAGGTCATGTAAAAAGAATACTTAAATGGGACGAAACGACATCTAAGACTTCACGTGAATATTCTGTAGGCATATTGTAATAGGTAGTATAAAAAGAATATTTAATGGGATGAGATATAAAAGGGATCTCAGGTCCAAGTAAATCAAAAGGCAAGTCAACATGGCAAGAACATGAATGCAAGAAGAAGAGTAGTAGGGTTTCTTTCAGCAACAAGCCACATGGGTCCTTGGCTAGGACAAATAGGTTTATTGTAACCATTAGCCACTATGTAAAGAAAAGGTGATACGAGTTATAGCATCTAAGTAATATAACCTTTACTTCATTCTGTAATTTCATATGTACTTTACTAATTCGCTGTTAACAACCTCAATAAAACTGGGCCTCTGTAAGCCCCTGTTAAAAAAAAAAAAAAAAAAAAAAAAAAAACAATAATATTTTAAGATATATATGTAATAAAATTAAACTTTAAAAATTTCAAAAACATAATTCTATCATAAATTCTATCTTTTAATAGTAATTGATAAGACCAATTAAGATCAACAAGTTGATTGGTCAATCAGCAATGATAAAAAAAAAAAAAAAAAAGTGAATATAAAAATTCCTAATCACCGCTGTCAAGTATCTCTCTCCTGCGAGTTGAACCATTCCTTATAATTCGATAGAAAATGGCGGACATCCATGATCGCGCTATCAGTTATGCTGCTCTCATCCTCGTCGATGACGGAGTTGACATTACCGTAAGGATAATAAGGATAATCTTGTGTTATCTTTTAGGATTGCTGTTCGTTAGATGCATGACTAATTCTGATATACTTTCATCTAGTCCGAGAAACTGCAAACTTTGATAAAGGCAGCGGGTATTGAAATCGAGCCAGTTTGGGCTAATATGTATGCCAAAGCTTTTGAAGGAAGAAATGTTGGCGATCTGTTGATGAACGTTGGTGCTGGTTAGTGACTGAGGAATTTCCATTCTTATTATCAAATGGATCAGCTTTAAACATCTTTTCTAACAGGTGGAGCCGCTCCTGCTGCTGGTGGTGGTCCCGCTGCCGCTGGTGGTGGCGGTGGTGGCGAAGAAAAGGCCAAGGAAGAAGAGAAACCCGCTGAAGAGGAGAAAGAAGAATCTGATGAAGATATGGGATTTGGTAAGTTTCATCACTTACTATTTATTACATTTTCAACTTTCTAAATTAAACCAATTTATTATTATCTCATCAGGTCTTTTCGATTAAATGTGGATAATGAGAAATTTTCACTAATAAAGGGTCACAGTTATATTGTGTTTAATTATCTATTATAAAAATGTAACAACATATAATATAGCTGTTTACGTTAGTTGCGTAACAAAAATTTAAAATTTGTCACTACTCTATTTGAGTATAATAAGGCAATGACATACATAAGTAAGTTTGTTGCATATTCCAAGAGTCTACAAAATGTTATTAGACACGACATCTGCGGTACAAAGCGGAATGGTTCAATAAATCACAATGTACATTCCAGACGTTTGGAAAAACAAGCCATCACAGATTTCTTGATACATTTTTATATACTCGGCAGTCACTTAAAGAAGCATGAATAAACTTCACTCGCGCATTATTCATTGTCCTGATAAGTGGCAGAAATAGCTTGCAAAATGCCTGATTATCATTTGATGATCCAAATTCGTCAAATGTGAAAGGTTTCTTCATATTATCATGAGGAGACTTTAGGCTATTTTCGCAAAAATGTTGTCTTTATTATTTTTTGAATTTTTTTTTTTTTTTTAAAAAAAAATTGAATGATTAACTAGTGTGACACTTGAATACAAAATGAAATTCTTTAGTTAATAGTTAATAGTCGTCTCCTCGACTAACCACCTGAGTGCGCGATGAAAAGAAATGTTAATATTACACATGTTGAAAATATTGAATATAAAGTCATCCACATACCTCTTTGCATGTAGGTCGTAAAATGAATGTATGTTCATATTGAGCGGTATAAGACCCTTTGACATCGACCAATGGTGGATAGGATTCCACGATACCGGAGTCCACTAGATTCTTTAATCCCATCAAATATCTAGATTCACCGATGCGGTCAAGATATCGACGGCAAAATGGTAGCGTCCCAAAATGTTTATTAATATTATTTAGAAGACTCTTTGCTTTCGCGAGGCTGTAATTGTTGATCGAGACGTTGGTTTGGTTATAACGAATCCAATTCAGGCTCTAAAATAAGATACAAACGAATCGTTTACCGAAGTGGCACGTGCCCGGCTTCTTGTCGTTTTGCATAGTGACTACACTCGCCGTCTTCATGGACATAACCTTTTCCAGTACTTCCAAAAGTTTCAATAGCAAAGTATTCACCCTCCTATTAAACATGATATTAAATATGTCGTTACATAATAGCTAAATTTGATGAATTAGGTTAATCAAGTCTTAATTACTTTCCTCCATTTTAGTGACATCATTATTTTTTATAATGGGAACAGATTTTCCGCCATGAATTGTGTATGGTAAAATGGAATGACCGTTTAAATTGCGAATTGGTTTAACTTTTAAAATAAAGTATTATTTATTTATTTTTTTGTCACCAATGAATGGTTCGTTCAAAATTTTACGGAACAGCAAGCTTACCTTGATACACCTTATTTCCAATTTCCACTTCGTAGCTTTCCATGACTTTTTCATGTTCATGTAATGCAAGTCAATTATGGTATAATCGGCATAGTAAAGTGACCATTTGGCAATACCCTAATTACCTTCTTGAATGGCGGCGCCAATGTCACCTAATCTCACATCTATGCCGGCTTCCTATTGATCGCGTTTATAATGTTAGTATATCATTGGCTAATTATTCATCTTATAAGAAACGCGAATTCGAATACTTACACGAACCCCAGTATTCGTAGCATCTTTAACGGCCTCTTTGAGTTTATCGTAGACAGGGTTGAATGTGAGGGTAAATGCGGAATCGACAATACGGCCTTATTTAATGCAATCACAATTAGTTAATAATACTTTATGCATGCCAAGTGAAGGATAAAATAATTTAACTTTACCATTGATATGCGTGCCAATGTCTATTTTACAAACATCATCGTACTGTAGAACGGTTTTGTCGCCAGCATTTGGCGTGTAATGAGCCGCACAGTTATTTAATGAACAACCGGTCGGAAAGCCAATACCTAAATAACCCAAACTTATGTCAAATAGAATGTATAATGACAAATTAAAAGATATCAACATCTCCCTCAATAAAGTATCTATTAGGATGCCGGTAATTCTCCGGAGTACATAAAGATTGAGGCAAGTAAAGGCAATCTCATCCATAATTAACTACAGTGTGCGGTAAACAGACAAATCGTACCCAATCCAAAAACAACGTGTATTTACCAGCTTTCAAACCGTCCTCCTCGATCAAAGCACGTGTTCCATTCTCGATTAATTCGCATATCTCGATCATTGTCATCCCAGGCTTAATAACCTTTTGGGCATACTTCCGCACCTGTCGATGTACTTCGGCTGCATGTCGGAGATCATTATAGCTCTCGAAATGCATCCTGTCCAGATAACGTTTTTCTTCGTTCGTACTCCTCATCAAGTTACTACATTATCATTGGAGATCATGAACATTAACAATAATTTATTCAATGAATTACGATTGCTGGTAGCTTACTCGTCTTTATATTCACATATTTCACCCTCGGGGTATTTTCCGTCGGGGAAAAATTGTTTAACGGGAATTGTGGGCGGTTCAGTTTGCTGAATTGCCTTTTTCGATTTCTTCTTTTTCTTTTTTTTCTTGGTGGCTTTGTAACAAAAAGAATAAAACAAAATAACTTAACACTTTTTCCCCTCAGCAAATTGCTTCCATTTTTTTTTTTTTTAACTACCTTCACCCGATTTAGCTTCATCTTCCTCTTCTTCCTGTTCGTTTCCATTGTCTGCAGTCCCGACCTCCACTTATTTTCAAGGAGTAACCATTGAAAGTGTCAATTTTCATTTTTAAAAAGAACTAAACGACAATAATCGTCAAGAGAGCACCAAGACTGTACATGATTCAACGGTTTCACTAGCTTCTGGCTCTACGCTGCCATTTTCTGCCGCAGTTTTCTTCTTCTTCTTCTTCTTTTTCTTTTTTGCTACCGTATCCGGGGAAGTCGGGTTTTCGTTGTCTACGATAGTCTCATTTTCGTCGTCCTCCCTCTCCGTTGAATCTTTTAAAGGTTTTAATGAAACGATCAGCGACAGTCAAATGTACAAGATTCGATCGATTCAAATCATACAATAGCCACCTTTTACGATTTCGATGTTCTCTTTATCCTCAGTTGTCATTTCGAATTCTCAAACTGCGTACGCACACGCCACAAACTTTTCAACATCGCCTTGTTGAAAAATTTTCCGATCACATGATGCGCATGCAGCTACGTATTTTAAATTTTAAAACTATGCATATCACGTGAAACCGAATGAGTAACTTTAGATAAACTTATTATACTGTAGCATAGCGCTATGTAATATTTCTCGTTAAAAAACATTACTTAAATTATTGATTTATAATATTTTCTGAATTTTGTTTCTATTAAAATAAAAAATCACGAATTTATCTCTCGAAGAGGGACAAAAATGACTTGAGAAATTTTGTATGCTAAATACTTTAGGAACCCATCATTAGCTATGCCAATCATGGTCATCATCTTTTTCAACGGGAATATTTATTCCAAGGAACGAGTCAAGATCAGAGAAAAAGTGATCTTGCAATGCACGGTAGGTTTGAATTATCCATTTCATTTAACGATCACAATAATTGATTCAGGAAACGTGTATTGACAAAAAGTGCATTCATTATAAGCGCATTCATGATAAATGTGTCAAAGTAAATAAATAAAATTATGAATAATAAAAACCTCGATCGTGGATGCCAAATAATTACTGAAACCGTCTAAGGGAATTCGTTCCGGGGATTAATTCTCGTCTGAGAAGTTCCCGCAGGGGACGATGGCCCTCCACCTGGTGGTGCAAGTAAACTATTCATAATATCCTGGAAAATGTTAAGTTGCTGTGATCTCGGTGCTCTTATGTTAAAGAATATTTCACCAATTTTGTTTAAGAGCTATATATAGATCAAAGTTCATTAGAAGCCGCAATGGTATTCGGCGAATCAATATCATTAGGATGTTCCTTACATCTCCAAACATGGGCTCAACGGACATGACATTTTTATACTTGTTACGAAGGGTAACAAATAAATCCGAAGCTTCTCGTTGAACTGTTAGAATTAAAAGCTGCAAAAAATTCAACAAGGGCAAATTATAAGTTGTCACGTCGACGGAGTCACCGGTTATTGTTGGACGGTAGGGAATACTCTCTGCCTTTATGCCTGGGTCTTTTAAGATAACCTCTGAAACGAAACTTTCAAAAGCTATCCTCGCATCACGAATACTCCGTAAGCACAGATATCTGTGATTATCTCTGGTTAACCGCCACTGTATTCTGACCAAAGACAAAATCGATAACCAACATTATCGAAAACGTACTGTAGCACCGCGCGGGCAATATATGCACCTCTTCTGGACGGATGATCTTGTTCCGACCACTCCACTAACATTTTTCCATATAATTTGCTGCTGTCTGGTGTGCCGGCAAGAAAATGCGGCTCTGCCTCGGAATAAAATTTATCTAATGAATGGATATAAGTAAATTGACGGCAGAAATCAAAAAAAAATTTTTTTAAAAAAAACCAGCATGACAAAGTTCAATTACCTTTCCATAACAATTCTGCAATGAATTGATGCAGTTTTGGATCACCAGAAGGACTCTCTCCAAATTTAATTGACCAACTAATAATAAAAAGATAAATGTGCGATCGATTATAAGGAAAAATCAAAACAACCGTGTTCACCTGACCGCGGAATCAATAAATCTTTTGCGACCAGGTTCCTCGGGTGGGAATAGCCCCAACAACTGAACAACCCGATCTTAATTAAAATAAGTTATGTAGATTATGTCTCAATATTTTTCAGTTAATGCCAATGATAACGAACCTCTGGATTCATCGGAAACTTGCAGTTCTCCTTCAATGTAAACGTCCATCATATAAAGTGATAAATCCAGGCCACTACCGCTTTGCTTTTGACTCAGTAAGGTTTGGACTCCGGAGAATAGGAGGTCTATGGCAATATCATACTTCTTTTGCTTTACATACCTAAAACAAAAGGAAATTCGGTTACGAATTGGGGCTGAAAAGAAAGTGTCCAAGGGTACAAATGAGTTTCACCTACCGTCTGCAGACAGTACGGATCATTTGATGTGCTTCATAATGATTCCCAGATTCCACAGAATCTTTGATTTTTTCTAGTACCTTCTCCGTACCTTTCGAAGAAGTCATTTCGCGTAATTAAGGGTTCTACGTAAACCGAGTTGTAATGTTGGGTTACATCAAATGGTGTGTGGTGTCGATCAAGGGCATATGCCGAAATGGGTAATGATTTCCTAGTTGAAAAATCCGAGATGCGTGCTTTAAACTTTCAGACTCCACCTTTCTGTGTAAATGTGGGTTCCAAGGGTGTTAAATCAGACGTTAAAAAATAATCGTACATCTCTAATCGACGTAGGCGTCGCCGGTCTGTTTATATGTTAATTTATGGTGCGAGTGACGAATGAAGATGCACCCCGGACCTTAGTGACATTTTATATTTACCAAAATTCAGCCGAATTAGTAAAGGCGACTAAAATTCCAGATCATTCCACGGTGATTGAAATAAATCCTGGTTCGTCTCTCGTTTTGACAATTTTCTCATTAAAAGAATGTGTTAATGATTTGAGTTGATTTGACGTTAAAAGGTTATGGTTTTTTGACACACGCATTACTCAAGCATACTAATGTCAAGAAGATAATTGCCGTTGAAAGTCATAGTGAAAGTGTCGCGAATATTAATGTAAGGATTTTGGATTTTCATACCATGATTCCGAGGGACAAGCCTTGCTATGCAGGGAATTATCAACCGACGCCTTTCATTATTTAAGGCATTAGCCAAAGAATCCGATGGTCGATTGAAGGTGCTAGCATCTGAAAAGGATCAGGAAATATTTAGACGACTGGGAAAAGAAAATTTGACTGTGCATCCTTGGGAAGAAGGTGGGAAGGTGGAACAGAAGTCGTGAATGCATACTAAACCAATCGCTAAATATTCACGTTTTATTTGCACTGGTTTCCATGATGCATCCAGTTCATCCTTCACTGTTCGCAATAGTTCACGTGTCTAACAAGTATCCGGGCATGAGGATGATAAAGAATTACCTAAATCAGTTTCACGAGCGAACCGGATTTCAGTCGTTTGGTCGAGTGCGGATGAATTTGATTACTCCCGCTTATGTGGCCGAGGTGAGGTGAGAATTTCGATAAATTTTGATTTAAAAAATGTTTCGATGAATGGATAATAAAAAATTTGTCCCTGATAACATCCAGAAATTGTCGGCATCGGTAGGTGACACCAAAAGATGCAGGTCAAGCTTATTGAGGGAAGCATTAACCGACTTGGATATTTTGAGACTGATTCCGAACGATGTTTTTGCTCCGAAAGTAGGTATTTGATTATTCATTTTCCATATTTGCATATCGATATTTTTATCCATTTACTCACCGTCGAAATTCAATATGATAATTGGACAAAGCATATACACGTGTTGTACAGTATGACCCCGAAGATTAAATCGAAACTTACGAACGGTTGATATAACTTCTTTTGACTTATTGTTTGCGCGCGTCCTTCAATGATCCTCAATTAGAACACCAATTCATTTACTCATCTTTATTCTAGTACCAATTGAAACATATGAGTATGTGGTCAGAAATATGTTGATGAAGAAACTTTCGCCAGTGCGAGATATGTTGGGGTAGATTTATTTTATTTTATTTTTTCTTTATTTTGTTTCCAATTATTATAATTTAATTAAAAAGTCGCGTATCACTCAGGAAACTAGGGGCCGGTGCTGAAAACCTAAACATCAATTTATCGTTTGACGCGCGTGCCAGGGTGTTGGACATGACGGTGGATCAGTTCGTGGAATTGGCGTATCATTTTGAGAAATGGCCATTCAAGCCAGCAAATTTCGACGTTAGTGCCATTGACCCGGACTTTAAACATCGTAAAAGAATGTAGTTAGATGCTACGTTAGTATTTTCCTGCAATTGTCGTGTGTGTGCACGAAAATGAAACTTAAAAAAAAGATTTATCAAAAATGGAGGCAGCACAACCTCCTAATGTTGTCTTGGCCAGTACATCGAATGATTTTTTTAACTCTGACATTATGGACTTTGTATATTGTTAATAAATTTAAATCATTAATAAAATTACCATGGATGCAAACACTCGTGACACGCGTTTTTTAAGGGATGAAAGAATGACGAATATTTTAATTTGAAAGACACTGATGGTCACCAGCGTGTAACCACCGTTACAGGCTTTTCAATTTTACGCACACCTGTCGCGACATTAGAAAATGGTGGACTTGAATTTTTTCGAGAAAGTAGACTCTGCGTTGGGAGAAGAAGCGAATAGAAAGGATGTAAGAATTCCTTGAGTTAGAAATGTCCAAAACGAAAAGAGCTTTACTGATTAGGTTTGTTCACGATTTTCAAAGGGAATACTTTGTTTGGTGCGAGAATACGAAAGAACGAGTCGCAATATTACGGCCATCTTGAATCGAGTTCATTCGGCTCAAACCGAAGAAGGTAATTAAAATGTGCGGCTTTCTTGAATGTGTGCTTGTTCGCAGAAAACTAATCGAACAACTTGAATACAGTTCCAGTAATCGTTCAAGCCGCGATTGAAAAATTCGAAGAGGTGAAACAACACCTATCAAACCTAGCTCAAGTCGTACCATACCAGAAATTTTATAGGTCTATTCTTCAGATCTCGAAGAATTTCCCGCCTTTGAAAGAAAATACTTGACATTCCTTATAAACGTTCTTATATAGGTACAATGAACTTTGGACGAGAACAGTTCAAACATCAATTTTTCATGCATCATTTGTGGTCTATCTTACCTCGGAGAGGCTGATTACACCGGACGAAATTGAACCAATGTTTGGCGGTGAGATAATTATTTAAGAATCACGAGGCAATCGCAAATAGCAATTAATTCCTTTAACCAAATTTCCGAATAGAAAGTTAGGGTCAATTTGAAAAACGATCTACAAGATTTTCACATTTCTCTCGACGAATTTCTTCATGGATATACCATGTTAACTAGTGAATTGGTCAGTGAGTTGTTGTCCTTGTATGCATAATAAAAGAAAATTGTGCGATCAAATTAATAATGTTCTATTTTGTGTCATCAATTTTCATTCTAGACAAGGCTCGCAATCAACTCGGTAACACTCGGAAATTATGATAGACCTCTGCGAATCTCGAGATTTGTCAAAGAACTATTTATGGGATTTCAGCTGCTAAATTTGAAGAATGATGCTTTGAGGAAAAAATTTGATGGAATCAAGGTATACTCTGAAATTTTTATATTATCGTTTTATTATTATCACATTTTTGTCATTGACAGCCTCATTATTTTGCCTAAAGTATGACATCAAGAAAATCGAGGAGGGTATGTTTTTCTATTCCATTAACTAACGATCGTTCTGTTTTCTTATTTTGATGTTAAAACATTGAACATAATATCGAATTATCGTTTAGTTGTTTATGATATCTCCCTACGGAAATTGTCCAGGAATAGCAATTCGGAAGATGCAGGTGTTAGAAGTGAATGATATTTTAAAAGTTGGTGGTGTAATGCGTGTGGTGCGTTTGTGAAAATGGTAAATGCAGAGATTTGAAAAACTCATTTTGTACTGATGCGTCGGATTCAAAAAAATTAATAATAAAATAGTAAATAGGACTGTATTATATATTGAATTTAATTATTTCAATTTAAAATTTGTATTAAATTAATTTTTTTATTAAAAATTATTATTATTATTATTATTTTTGCTAACTCGCAATCATGTCACAATGGCTTGTCTTTATTGAGAAATTAAAACAATAAATTACAGATTTTCACAAAGTGATTAACTCATCTTCATATATAAGTACTCTAAATTAGATTTTGGGAATAATATTATGTTTCCCTGATATGATTGGATTAATCATTATCTACTAAGATTATTGTCAACAATTTGTCACTATTGATTGACTCCAAAATGAATGAATTGCTAAGTTAGGGAAAAGAAAAAAAATAATTGAGAGAAGATGACAATTCAAGATTTATTAAAAAGTTCAAAAATAAAAATAAACTCTTTTCAAAAAAATTTTGTTTAATTAAAGTAGTTTTCTTATTTCACTTGAACTTTGAAAAAAATCTTCTTTGTTATTATTTGTAATATTGAATTAATTAATTAAACTGATTCTTTATTTAAGTAAACATCAAATTATAATATCTCAAAGAAAACTTTTAGACTTCAATTTTTGTTCATTAAAACTTTATTACCAACTGAAAAACTTAAGTAAAAGATAAAAATCTGCAATTTATATTATTTATAATTTAATCTTTTAATAACATGAATATTTTTATTAAAAAATTTGAATTTCTAAAATAAGTATTTTACAATTGGTTTTTCTTCCTTTAAAAATTTTTTTATCATTGATATCAAAGATGTTATTTGGTTTTTCTTGATTATTGAAAGACAAGTTTTTGAATAAAAGAATTTGTAAATAAGATAGAAAGAATAGAAATAACTCTTGAAGTTATATTTCAAGTTGTTTTAATGAAAGTATTAAGACTTTATTAACAAAGAAGTATAAAAACTTCTTGTAAATATCTTTTTTGTGTGTAATCAAAGAATCAATAGATTTTTTTATTAAAAATTATATATTAATATTTATTTTTTATTATTTTAATTGTATTTTAGTTAATTCACTAATCCTCTAACCATACACAAAAAAGATGTTCGCAAGAAGTTTTTATACTTCCTTGCTAATAAAGTCTTAATACTTTCCTTAAAACAACTTGAAATATGACTTCAAGAGTCACTTCTACTCTTCCCCTATTGTTTACAAACCTTTTCACTCAAAAACTTGATTTTTAATGACTAAAAAAAGTCAAGCAACACCTTTGATACCAATGGCAAGAAAGTTTCCAAAGAAAAAAGAACTGACTATAAAATATCTAAAGGTCTATTTAACCTTTGAAGTGAAAGATATATAAAGGTTTTTAATGACAGAAGGGCTTATTTTTTCCCTTCCGATCACTTGTGAACCTCTTAGAACTATCACTTTCATGGTTTTCTGAAGAATTTTGCCTATCTCAATTTGATCCTGAATTTTTAGTAACACAAATCCTCACCAAAGGTAATGGACTAATATGAAACACGTCAGTTTTTGGAATGTAAACAAGCTCCTATTGATCATACTCATGTGTCTCGATATATTATTGGTGATGTAGAAAAGAAAGTTCTAAAAAAAGTGTCCTTTCCAATCGTATATATTTAACCTCCAGAAAACAATTATGATACTAAAAGGTGAGTGACTAGTATAAAAAGAAAATTCAACTTCCATTTCTTATTAAGTTCTTCAGGTGATGAAAAGGTTTTTTTGAACAAAAGCTGAGGTCTCCAAGCTTTTATCCCAGTTAAACAAAGTTCTTGAAAAAATTTCTTTATCCCAATTAGGTAAACTCTTCCATAATATGGTGCTGGTTTCACTAGTGATAAGTGAATTTGTATATTGGCAGAAGGATAAGTTCCTCAAATGTTCTTCTTAAAGTTACTTTCAGGAATAACTAAGTTCCTCAAACATTATGAAGCTTAGAGAATATTCTAATCAGGCAAATTCCTTTTGAGAGGAAATTGTAAAATGGAGCATAAACCTTTTGGAAAGCTTTGATTTTTTTACATTCCTCTTTCCTTTTTTCTCAGTGTCAACTTTAGCAATTCATTGTTTTTTGAAATAATCAACAGTGACAAACTGTTGATAATGACCCTGGTTGACTTAAAGGTATTATTACCAAGCTACTAGAAGAGTGAAATATTGTCACCTAAATCTGACTTAGAGTACCTAATTTAGATTTAGTTTTGTTTAGTCTGAACTAGCTTAGTGAATTCCTCATATTTTTTAAAAAGTGTAATCCTTTAACTAATAATGTACAATGACAAGTTAATCACTTTATGAAAGTTTATAAAATATTTAGGTATTTCTCAATATCTTAATAAAGACACACTATTATGGCATGATTGTAGGTTAAAAAAAAAAAAAAATTGTATTTTAGTTAATGTTAAAATAGTAATTAAATCTGAATTAAGTAACTCTTTCTACTAATTTTCAATTTTTCAGAAAATTTTCTTTTTTTGTGATTTTTTTTGAAAAAAAGAAAAACCAGCCAGAAAATAAAAAAACCCATTTTTATAACTAAACAACTTACAAAAACAAGTTTAAGAACTCTTTATAGAGTGTAGAAGAGATAAGTTTTATAAAATTACCAACTTCTACTATATAAAATTTTTTTTTAGAAAGAAAAAATAACAAGAAAGACTAAATTACAATAAGCTTTTGGAAATCCAATATCAATCTCACAAAGCTCTTAGTCAGGTCAGAGTAGATTAATACCTTTTTAAACATAAAAAAAAACTTTATAAGCAATAACTCAAACCAATAAATCAGTTCAAGTCTAAATACACATAAAACCTAGAGGGATATTCAAGCTTCATTAACTATACAGTAAGCACATATATTTAATGATGAGTCCTTAAAGTATTTAGCATATAAAATTTCACAGATCACTTATGTCTCTTTTTGAGGGACAAAATTTATAGCTCTTTACTTTAATAGGAACAAAAGTCAGAAAATATTTTAAATCAATGATTTAGATAATGGAGAACAATTGTGGATAGTTTTTTTATAGTTATTAATTTAAAAATTTTAATTTTTTCTAGTGAGGGACATTTGACTTTTATCCCTGCCTCCCTCTTTAGGGACCCATCTTTACATATATTACAACAACAGCATTTTAATAATATTACATTATGCAAATATAAACACATATACTTTTTACAACAAGCTCAAAAGATATATCAAATAATAATATTAATATACTATACTTTCTATATGTTTATGCAAATTAATTATTAACAATTCCATAATTCATGTGTTTACTATTGACTAATCAACAATATCAATAATACTATCACAATATATATATGAAATAAATATTATCAACATATTACAACAAATAATACGATTTTTTTATATTATCTAAATAATAATAAAGAATAAACAAATCTATAACATTGTTTAAGAAAACATAGCAACAACTATCAGTAAAATATAACAATATCAAACACAGTCAACTTATTTCCTATTACATAATTAATATGTTTATGAGAAAACACAAACTTTTACAGATCACCAAGAAGAGAGAAACACATATTATAGAAACCTTAACTCAATTATCAAACAAATATAATCAACAACAGAAACTATAGGCAACATAAACCCTCCTTAATATTATTTAACTCAAAAGTCATTATGAACTGTACCTTAGATCCAACTCAATACTTAATTATTGATAATATCATTGCTAGAATTCTGAATATTAATCATATCATCTTTAGCAAAGTCAATGTTCTTAGACAACATATCCTTTATCTATGGATCAAAAGATAAAAAAAAAAATATTAAATTAGACAATACCTAAAAACAATCTTTCTACATATAACTTATCAGATAAGGAAATAGCTATAGAAGTTTAAACAACTACAACAATTAAAATCTCAAATATTACTATAATTGAAATGGAAGATAAGAAGCTCAAAAATATAATCAAAATAGAAGTTATCAGTAAAAAGATTAAAGGAGACAATATAATTGAACAATATATATATAAGACAAGAAATAAATCAAAAACATCCAATAATAATCCCTTTCATATTAAGGTGAATGATAAATATAAAATGGATATGTTCATTTCCAAGCTTCTAGAAAAAACTTAAATAGAACAAATAGCATATTTGTAAATATTTTAGGCTTGCCAAAAGATTTTCAATTCTTCAAAAAAGAATTTATCAATGGTAATATATAGTCAACATTCTGTTGCAAAGAGAAGAAAAATACATTACAATGTTTCAAAAAGATTAATAAAAAAGAGGGAAAAAACTTTATTATTATACCTATATATATAGAGAAATGGTTAAACTCTATTCAACCATCAAATAAAAAAGTTTTTTAGCAAATAAAAGATGAAGAGAAAACCTTACTGATAGTTACACTTATAGATATTAACCAAAACTATTCATATCAAA